TTTTTATGATTTTGGACTTGTTAGAATCCTCTTAATAAGAGGATCATTTTGGTAGTTAAATCATCCAAATCGGTTTAATAGATCAAAAATTATTCAATATTAAATATTATATATAATTTTAATTATACATTTTAATAAATGTAAAATCTGATTGGCTAGCAAATGAGAGAGTGGGGCAGTGTTGTACATGGACAAATATTCAAGCAAATTATTGGATATAGACAATCTTGAACAATATCTGATGTCCAAGTCTATATAATTATTTTGTGGCTAATAATGTATATAGACAAATGTCCAAGCTAATATCTATAAGCATAGACATGGACAATATCTAATATCCAAGTACACGTGATTATAGAAACTTCTGATTAGCTAAAATTTATACTACAAATTAAGCTATCGCTATTAAGCAAGATTATACAAAATTGCTCATATACTTTATAAATACTTTTAACAATCATGATTTTCTTTATATTGTTTCAAGAGCTATTATACTTATGATGCTTTTTTTTTTTAATATTGTTCTTTAAAAATAAATAACAATATGTATGCTTTTTTTTTTTTTTAAAGCTAATATCTTTCTTATACGTAAAAGATACTATTGATTTTTTTTTTTTACTATGGTGTTTTTTTTTTCTTTGCGTATTAAGCTAATGCTTATTTTTTTTCTTTTTAAAGCTAATATCTTTCTTGTAAAAGATACCATTAATTTTTTATTATAATATCTTTTTTTTTCTTGTACATTAAGCTAGTGCTTATTTTTTATTCTTTGATATTTCAAAAGTTAATATGTTTTTTTTTAAAATTTCAAAAGCTAATGCATATTTTTTTTCTTTAATAATGTAATTTATTAGAATCTAAAGCAAATTCTGATGCAATCTATTTTTGTGTTTCATATATTTAGCAGTACTTATTTGTATTTGTCTTTAAATAATCTCATATATGCTTTTTTTTATTTAAATACCATTTTCTGTGCTGTAATTTGATAATTCATTACATATCATTTTTTTCATATTTGGATATCTCATTACGGCTTTAGTCAAGCTTTACCATATCATCTTTACCATCTATACTAGATAAATTTATTATAAAAGCAATAAAAAAATCAACAATTTTAATACAAAAGTTTATTGCAAGCCATGCAGAAACAAATTGAGTGAAGTAAAAGGTAGCAAATTTTGGGTTCCTAATAAAAAAGATCAGATAGTTTCGTATTTTAAAAAGTGTGCTTATTTTTTTCACTAAAACCACATCTAAAGAACAAAAAAGATATTTAATCTAGTTAAGGTATCTTCAAAAGGTATTATTTATTCTTCTTTATTTATTTATTCTTTATTTATTTATTTATTCATTTACTTATTTATTTATTCATTCACTTATTTATTTACTCATTTATTTATTTATTTACTTATTTATTTATTTGTTTATTTATTTATATATTTATTTTTAATTTATAGAACCTGCAAAAATCACTTGGTCTTCTTCTTATAGACCAATAAATGATTATATTATTAAATCTTTGTTGCTTCAAGATGTAAAAAATTTTATTTGCTCATTTTATATCTTACAATCTCTTGTAGTAAGCACTGCATTGGGTTAATAAACCAAAAACAATTGAATTATTTGAATTTCTTTATCTACTTCTTAAGCTTCCAGACTAGCATGTACTTGGTAGTTGAGTTCTGAATAATGCAACTAAAGAATCTGAAAAAACAATGTTATTTACTTTGAAAAAAAATCTAAATAGCATCACATTTACGTTTGATAGTTGGACTAATATTCGCAATGAGCATTAATTAGGTGCAGTTATAATCATATCAGAAGGTAGACTATATGTTTGAAAAACAATAGATATTAGTTTGGAATGTGAAACACATATAGATGTAATTAAAAAAATCAATTTAATGTTTACTGAATTAAATGCACAATTAATAAAAGCTATTGCTGTTGTAACAAATAGTGCAGAAGCATATGCTGCTACTAGGTATATTTTATCATTTTTTATTTAATATGAATAAAAAGTTTAATTGGCTTTTTTTTATAAAAATTGATTAAGAATTATAAACAGATCAATTATATTTTTACCTTGTTATACACATCAAATAAATTTGTATATTGGCGAAATCTTTAAAAAATCTATTGATTTTAAAAAAACTATAGATCAGGCGGTCTGTTTTGCTACTTATTTTAGAAATCTAAATCATAAATTTTTTTTAGCAAAATTAAAAGATAAGCAATTTGCTCAATATAAAAAATATTTCATGATTAATGCTTCTGGAGAAACAAGATAAAATAGTTATTATCATATTTGTTTAAGTTTTCTAAAATCACAAAAAGTATTACAAGTAATTTAATATAATATTTTGTTATTTTTTTGTTAATAAAATTAATATTTAGATATAAAAAGCTATTTTATTATTTTATTAGATTCTTGTTATTAAATTCGAACTATCCATCATAGAAACATCTTATCATGCTGAAATAGAGCTAAAATTAAAATGTAAAATATATGAAACTATAAGTTCAGCAAATTTTTGAACCAATCTTCACTATTTGCTTAATATTCTTCAATCTTATTGCATTATTTTAAACAAATTGCAATCAGACAAAGCTTGACTACCTCAAGTTTGGTTTATCTTATTTAATTTTAGAAAAATCATAATGATTTATAGTTTAGTACTCGAATTGTATTGTGTTTGGAACGTTGATAGTGTGATTGGAAACAACCAATATTAATTCTCTCTTGTCTTTTACATCCTGGTTATTGTATAGAAAAGTTTAATATAAATATTAACTATACTAACTTTGGTTCATAGCTAGTTTATTATTATCATGCATGGTCTAGAAAAGAATCAAAATGAATTTTAAAAGAATTTGATGACTTTCGCTTAAAAAAATATCCTTTTGACACAGACACATAGAATCATTTCTCAGACAATATTTATGATTATTGGTACTTTGTAAGTGCATTAACAAAAGAATTAGGCTTAGTTGCAAGTTGCATTTTTGGAATATGTGTAAATGCAGCTATAGTAACAAATCATTATAATTATTTAGTAGTAAGTCTATATAAAGTTTTTAAAATCAATCTATTTTAAAAATAATATTTTATTAAATTAATTTAGTCTCCCAAGGCTTTACAAATAAGCAAATTGTGTGCAGATATTATATATAGTTATCGAATTTAAACTAATTTAACAGAGAATAAAGCAGATTTATATGATAAGTCTAGTATATTTATAGAAACAGAACCAACTAATCTTGAAACTTCTTCTTTAAGTAGTATAAATAATTCAAGTTTTTCAAAAATAAATAAGCCTCCAAAGAATGTTGAAGTAAATGAACTAGCAAAAGATATTGAAAATAAATCTGCAAAGGATATTGAAAATGAATCTGCAAAAGATGTTAAAAATGAATTTTCAGATGAAGAATCAGATAGTGAATTTGTAGATATTGAGGATAATTTTGATAGTTATTTACAAGAATGGTTAGACATGTTAGAAAATAAAAAGTAGCACTTTGAAAATAAGGATATTGATGATGAATATATGGATGAAGAAGAATATTCCATTAATGATAATACATATCCCGTAGTTGATACTAATGCAAAGTAAGAATTAGCTACTCTTTTCAAGAAATTAGAATTGAATAAAATTTTAATTTAAATTTTTAAGCAAATGTAAGTAAAATAATATTTATACTTTTTACTAAAAATATAATTAATCATGCACTAGTAAAAAATAAAAATTTAGTATTGAATAGTACTATTCGAATGCTACATATCATTCAATATGCCACTCAACTTATCACATGACTTCACAGACATTCATGTCTGTGAAGACATATAATAAGTTGAATAGCATATCAAATAGTATTCAAATAGTGCTATTCAATACATTTTTTATTTTTTACTAATAGTATTGATAAGTTATATTCTAAAAAAATAAGCTATTAGCATATGAAGTACTTATATGATAAAATATTACATTATTTAAATTTTATACCAATTATTTAGGATTCATAAATTTGGTTTACAAAAAGGATATTAAAATCCTTGTCTTTTGAAAATTAAAATATTTTTAAATTAGATATATTTAATATATCTATACAATTTTCTAAAATTTTAAAATTTAAATATTTATATATATTATAGGGGTTTTAGGTGAGATTTGTTTTAAATTAGAATCACATGATTCAAATCTATTAAGTATACAATAAATATTAAAGTTTAATTAATAAATTTTATCTTACTTACTTTTTTTCGTTGTGTAATTTTGATAATTACAATAAATTAATATATATTAGTTTATCTTTTCGCTTAACTAACTATTATTGACTGCATAGTAATTATCAATAAAATATCAATACTATTTTATAAAATAAAAGCATTTAATTATTCTTTGGATATGCTAAAGCTTTATATTAATTATTTTATTTTAATTTGCCTACTCTGAGTAGAGAGTAATAATCTAAGACTTTTTGTTTGCAAGAGAGTGAGTTTTTTATTATTTACAGTATTTTGCTTTGTAAAAAGCAATTTTAGTACAAATAACTATTGATAAAAAAATGATCAGATAAAACTTCACAAAACTTTTTGAAAGTTTATGATTTATTACAAACTAGTTTCTGCTTAACTTCTATATATTAGCTTTTTTTATATCAAAGGTTTCTCAAATAGAAATTATATCATATAATTATTGTTGAAACTGCAATATCATATATATAAGTTATATAATAAGTAAGTTAAAATATAGTTCTAATTTTGGTTTATACGATTTAGATTACTATAATTAAGTAATTTTTGCTTTGATAAATTACAAAGCATTTATATTTCTTGAACATAAGCATTATCTTGGATATAATCTTTATTTGTCTATGAATATAAAATATCTATGTCTAATCCATATTCATGTCCATATCTATTGACAATACTGCCTTAAAAAAAAAAGAAAAGTCTAAAAGAAGCATTAGTAGATAAAGACAAAAAATATGAGGAAAATAGTAAGTTCAGTATCTGAAAAGAATGCTAACAACACCAACTACTAAATTAGAAAGTAACACTATTATAGAGTTTTAATTGTAATACCTATTTGAAAGTATATTTGTGGCTTATATGAGTAATGTAGAGAATATATATAGAATACTAATAAAGATAGTTTAAAAGTACAAAAAATTCTAAACAGGTCTAAAACAGGCTAGACTTTACTAGGTAAAGTTTAAATTGCAAATAAAGTAGTCTAAATCTCTGTACTATAGTTGCTTCAGTTGTATTATATTGTAATAAATATATCTATAATGATATTAATAAAGTTATAGAGGTATGATCTTACTTTCAAAAAAAAAAAAAAAAAAACTAATATTTGAATATTTATTAAAAATCACAAATAAATATTTAAATATTTATTCAATATTATTGTAGTATAATAGATATACTGTATTTAACTAAACTACAAACAATATTTATTAAATACTTAAATTTAAATTTAAATATTTAATAAATATTTTTATAGCTTAAATTTAAATAAAAAAAAAATATATATATAGAAGAGTATTGCTAATTATTACTGCAGATAATTATCACCACTCATATGTTCGACCAATTAGATTACAGGATCTTGTATAACCAAAACAATAGTGAAACTAATTAAAAAACTAAAAATTACTATTAACAAAATATTTTACTATAACAATATATCTTTGGATACTAAGTAAAAGTTTTTAATACGCAATTTTATATATAATTTACTTTTCTAACTATAAACTCATCTAATTATAACTCTAAATCTAGACTTCTTACAAATTTTCTAGTATATGCGATGACAATCACCTGCAGTGATGATTAGCAATCCTCTATATAGAAATTAAAGTTTTGGTAATATAATTTATTTATATTTAAAACTTTTTTATATTAAATTAATTATTTTTAAGTTTTAATTAAAATTATAAAACTTGTTTTAGCAAATCTAATAGTAATTATATAATCAAATTGGTTTAGTAAATCATAAAATATTTATACTCTTCCTGATAATTACTTGTACCAACTATTATTAAAAGCAAGTTGAAGACTCAAAGCCAAAGTTAACAATAATTTAAAGATTTCTTGATATGAACTAATGTTGATGAAGTTTTTAAATATAATATATCAAGGAGTAGATATTTTGAACAGTTTGCAAAAGGGTCAAATTTTTTTTCTTTTTTAAGGTAGACTCCTTTTTGTGTTTAGTATCTAAAATTAGAGAAATCTTTAAGAATAGTAAGTAAAAAAGAAAGCTTAAGAAGTTTAAAAATAGAAGAACCAAATGAACTCTTGAATAAACTTTCATTAGTCAAAAATTTACAAAACCATAATTCTTCTCATTACTTTGATATTTCTAAAACTAATTTTTAACAAAAGTAGAAGATTTGACTACTTTTCATCAAAGATTGATATTATTTATCACTTTTATATTCAACAACTCTGTGATATGACTACAATAAATATATAGCAATATGAAAAGTTTATTCTCTATTTGAGAATATTGCTCTGTATAATTAAGAATTCAAATAATATACTTATATCTTAAATAGATAGCAAGAACAAGTGAAGTTATTATATTTGTAATATTTTAAAATAGAATATGAATTTAAAATTGAGACAATAAAAAAATTTGAGATATATAGTTTAATGATAAAAGTCATATACATATAATTTTTAGGCCTTAATATAGTAGTTAGTTTAGTTTTCTTTTATATATTAGCTAAGCTCAATATAATTACTATAATTATATAGACAAGTATTCTAGTTAACAGATATCAATTTGATAAATAGGTTTTTTAGGTTTATATTTGTACTTTAGATTTCTTTTATTAATTTAGTTACTTTCTTATTTGTTTCATTTTAAAAATATCTCTCTTCTTATATTTTTCTTTATTCTATTTGTTCTTCAAATTTTTTTTGTTAAAGAATATTTTTTTAGATTAATAAGATATTATATAGAATAGTGATTCTGACAAGGTTAGTGGATACTTACTGTAGACTCTTAAGGTATAAATTCTTAATAAGTTAAGAATCTTAGACAAAATAAATATAAGCTACTTAAATGGGTTGCTAAATTTATTTTTAGATTTTTATTTAAATAACTAAGTAATTCTTTATTAGTATAGACATAAATAATTTACTAAATAGATTACTTTACAAAGATATTGTTATAGCTGATATAAATAATAAAGAAAAAATTGCTAAAACAAAAAAAAAGTAAATTATAAAATATTTTTAAAAAATATTTTGCTAACTATATAAACTTTTAAATAAGTAATATTATTGTTTGTATATAGTTTTTTTAGTATTAAAGTAGCTTTTATGGCTACCTGCTTTTATTTTTTTGTTTTAGTGATCTTTCCTTTATTATATAAATTGGTATAGAATTACTCTATAAAGGCTAAACTATTTATAAATCTACATATGCTTGTATTAATAAAGAATTATTTGATTTATTAACAAGAACCTATAAAAAGTTCTGCAAAAAAGACCCAGATGCAATTCACCTAAGTGGTTTGTCTTTACCTCATCTAGGATTTCCAACTTACTGAAAATTTTATATCCCAAGAGATGCTTACCGATTTTGTCAAAATCACTGCCCTATATAATATATCACTAATCTGAAAAAAAATTCTCTAACAAAAAAATTCAGAAAGCAAAATAAAGTAAGAAGAATATGAAAAAGAGGATATTTTGAAAAAAAAACATATAAGAAAACGAATACACTAAAAAAGGAAATAAAAAATAATACAATACAAAACTAAAGAACCTAACTAACAAATTGGTATCTGCTAATCAGGATACTTATCTACATGATTGTAATAATTATATAGAACTTAGCTAATATAAAAAAAACTAAACTAAATATACTTTAATCTGTACTAATAGCTAAAAATTATATGCATATGACTTTATTGTTAGACTGCATATCTCAAATTCTTTTTATCAGCTTAACTTTAAATCTATATTTTATTTCAAAGTATAACAAATAAATTGACTTTACATATTCTTCTGAATTTAATATTGCCTTATCTATTTGGTATATACGTCTTTAAAAACCTTTTGAATCTTTGACATTTGGGGCTATATTCCTAAATAAAGAATAAATATCTTCCTATGTAGCTACATATTTGTTATATTCATATTACAGAGTTACTGAATATAGAAATAGTAAACAATACTGATCTTTTAACAAGATAGCAAAATCCCCACTTTTTGTTAAAAATTAGTTTTGAGAGTATCAAAGTGGCAAGAAAAGTTTTGGTTTTGTGAATTTCCAACTAAAAAGAATATTTTTAAGAGTTTATCGTGTCCTTTTATCTTCAAACCTCCTGAGTTTTCTTTTCAACTTACTGTTCTAGAAACTCCTCTGGTTTGGATACTAAATACAAAGAGAAGTCTATCTGAAAAAGCAAGAAAATAAGGTTTGACCTCTTTGCAAACCATCCAAAATATCTGCTTCTTAGTATATTATATTTAAAGATTTTATCAACAACAATTTGTATCAAGAAAGCTTCAAGTTGTTGTTAACTTTTGGCCTTAAGTATTCAACTTGCTTTCAGTACTAGTTGGTTCAAGTGATCATTAGAGAGAGTTGTCTGTATATAACAGCTACCTGCTTTTATTTAATTATTAAATTAACTTATTTACTATATACTGTAATAAACTATCCTAAAGATAGTTTGTATAGTATATATATTAAAAATATATACTAGTTATACGTAAAACTTTGGTTACTTATTTAAATAGTTTACTTATTATTAAGTTTTATACTAGTAACTATATTTATAATCTAACTAGAGAGTTATCTATTTAAACTTTTTGCAACTATATAAAGTACTCTACAAACTGAGCAAGAAATACTATATACCTCTTATTTTTGCATACTTAGTTTAGAACTTTAAAACAAATACTCAGCCTTCTAAGATCTTTTATTCTCAAAAG